TTTTGAGTCAGAGTCTCACTCCGTCGCCCAGACTGGAGTGCAGTGGCCGCTCCTGGCCACTCGCAGCCTCGACCCGCTGGGCTCCGGCGGTCCTTCCGCCTCAGCCTTCCAAGTGGCCGGAATTACAGGCACTGCTACCACGCCTGGCTGATTTTTTGATTTATTGTAGAGATGAGGTCTCGCTGCCCAGGTGGGTCTCGAACCCGTGGGCTCAGGCAATCCACTCACCTCAGCCTCCCAAAGGCGCAGGATTATAGGCTGAGCCACCGAGCCCGGCTTGGAACTTGTTTTCTACAGCTCTAGAATGGGAAAGATAGTACCTAACTTTAAGCATTTTCTGAGGATTGAGTCAAGTAGTGTGTATGGATGCATGTGTTTTGCTGGCCTTAGCTCAGTTAGTGTCAACAGTCCCCAATCTTTTTGGAATCAGGTACTAGTTTCGTGGAAGGTAATTTTTTTCCAGGGTTGTGGGGGTTGGGGGTGTGGTTGGGGGAGCTGGATCAGCAGCATTAGACTCTCATAAGGAGCACACAACCTCAATCTCCCCCCCATGCACAGTTCACCATAAAGTTCCTGCTCCTCTGACCATCTAATGCTGAGGCTGATCCGACCTTCTGCTGTGAGGCCAAGTTCCACAGACCAATACCCGTCCGTCATCCGTGGCTGGGGGGTTAGGGACCCGGGTTAGATTTCATGATGTGTCTAAAATGTACCTATTTGCTTCAATTTTGTATCAGTTGTAGGGCCTGCGGGAGATAAGGGTTTTAATAATTTGTAGAGGGTGAATTGTGATTAAGCCACTAAAGTCTAACTATGCCAATGTCTTTCATCTCTTTTTAGGCCATAGCCATTGTACTGGGGTTCATGGTTATCGTGGCTTTTGCTTTAATAATTTTCTTTGCTGTGAGAACACGAAGAAAGATGGACCGGTATGACAAGTCCAATATTTTGTGGGACAAGGAACGCATTTATGATGAGCAACCTCCCAATGTCGAGGAGTGGGTAAGTGTTAAAAAGACAAAAACAACTTTCAATCTTTGATTGAAGCTCCAAGTTTCTGTCTACATTTTTAGTGCTTTATTAAACTTTGCTCTTAGAATTATTGTCTGCGTGTGTTGTAAAAGTTGCTGTGTTGTTTTTACTCAGAAATTTAAGAGGGTGGAATAAGTGGAAATTGTTTTACTAAACGGTAAATATCAGATTTCCGTTTTGAAGGGATGGCTCTAGGTTCTGAAAAGAAACGGCTCCTAAAAAATCACGCAGAAAGAATTTGGCTTTTGCCAAACAGAAACAGCTCCTTCCCTCTCCCCCCTTTTATTTTCCTGCTTACCATTTTGGAGGAAACACTGCTGCCCAGGGTGCTGTCTGGGATGGACAGGCAGGGGCAGGGCTGTTTTTGGAATACCAAGTGGCCGGCCCTTTTAACTTTTTATGTAGATAACAGCATGACAAACCACAGCGACTGATCTGCACCAACATTTACCTATGAAATACTTTAGTGAGACAGAGAAAGAGTTGAGAAATTTTTATTCATATGCTGTTAATCTTACCAGGCTTCCTATATATCCTAGTCTTCTCGAAAGTCTGAAAAGTCCCTCTCTCCAAAGATACCCCGAACGAGTGTTCCTAAACTGTCTTTTAAAATATTTGGAGCGAGGAGGCTCTGTCGCCCAGAAATCCTCTGGGAGGATGCTGTGAGAAGCTGCCTCAGAAACTGCTGTCACAGGTTGCTTTGAGCAGATTGATCTCTCACCAGGAAGGTTAGTGGCGAATACTGGCCCCTGGCTCCCAGGGAGGTCCTGTTGGCCAGTGGGATGGCATGGAGCGGGGCAGGCTAAGGACGGATGCCTCCCGTTCAGGTCTAGGGCAAAGACATTAGTGTCTTCTTGAGGCTCCTTTAGCGTTTCTGTATGTCTGTTTTCAAGGAAGTCTAGGACCATAGATAGATTTTTTTTCTTTTTACTTAAGATGTAAAACTGAAGTCTTGGGACAGCCAGAAAGGGTGGGGCATGTATTTGCCACCGAAATGCTAGTTCTTAGGGCTTTGCCTTCTGCTGGAAGACCTGGTTCCATTTTCCTTCCTATAAAGTGTGAGGGCGTCAGGGAGTGTTCTCTCTCGACGTTTACCTCCAGGCAAGGCCACCTGTAGACGGAACAGGGCTGTCTCTTATGAACGATGAAGTAAATGTTTCGCTGAGAGTTTCTGGGTGTGTCAGTTTTCACTGGCTGTTAGATTTATTTACTTAAGGTTTCGAGAGGCTTAAAAAAAACACGACAAACCTGACTCAAGGGAGACCAGTGCTAATAATACTAGAGTCCCAGTGAACTTTGGTCTCTCATCTGATTTTACTGTCATGAAGGTTTAATCAGTTCTAGTTGCATTTGATAATTTGGCAGAAGATAGCCATAGTAACTTAGGGAGGTGATGATGATTAAGCTGAAAAGACTACTGAACTTTTTTAAAAAAATTATGATGTTTTTTGCTAACTTAGATTCCCCTAAGGAATACTTAGTTTTTAGGAGGTGTTATTTTAGTAAAATTCCTCCTTGAATCTCTGGAATCTCATAGGTTGTTTCACATGGACTTCATTGTTTTCTCTCTAGTAACAAATGTTTTCATTGTATGAAACTAAAAGCTTATTATTTGTTGAATAGCACATGTGGGATTTTGCCCACACTAATGTTTTACGTGATACTTAATATGCAAATTCCTCCTTTCTTTTGCCCTTCCCTTCAGTTTCCCTGACCGAAATGCCTACGAAAGCCTATCTGAAATAGGTTATTCGGAGGTGGTTTTAGCCACTGGTATTTTGCTTTTCCTTCCATTCTCCTCTCACCTGCTCAAGTTCATGTCGCTGAACTCAGTACCACGTTCTCATTCTTTCCTCGATTGACTGCAACAACCAGATGCAACCCTTGACTCTTGTTCTCTGCTCTTCTGTGCCTGCCTTTCTGCTTGAAATGTGTCTGCCCTGACACAGTAGAATTGTGTCACCTGGCATCTAAGGTGCCCATCGTGGAGTGGGTTAGGGATGTTTTTTCTTACTTTTGGCCGTTAGAAATTAATATTATCAAAATAATCTCCATTTAAAATGATGGAAGAGAATCTAGAATTAGCTATTTGTGCTAAGTGAGGATTAGCATTTGGGTTTTATATTATAGAAATTGGCTCATGGATCGCTTCTCAGCCTTTTGGCTAAGATCAAGTTAAATTGGCTCATGAAAAAAAAAGTTGGGTTCTGTCGCTTGTGGGGAGCACATGGCTAATAATGCTTGGTTGGGAGGAAAAGAAAAACTTCCTAAAGTTCCAATTAATTAGCTGCGCATTATCTGTTTATTTCTCCCTCCCAATTGGGGTAGGCCCAGAGGTTGATTATCTCCTTACATCTTACTGCCTTTCTTCTTGGATTTTTCACACCTTTGGGATTATAACCCCCCAGAGCAGAGGTGGGCCAAAAACTGAGCCCTCAGAGTTTTAAACAGATTTTAGCCCAATTGTATAATCTGTGAGAAAACTTACAGTTTTCTAATTTTCTGTCCCAGGTTTTCCCAGCACAGTGTTTTCTCTGCCTTCTTAGGGATTTTTAGGTTCCCCGCCCCCTTCCTCTTGCTGGATATCATGTTCTTTGTAAAATAAACAGGCCATGTTTGCGCACCATACTGTTGTTAACCTGGTCCTCTGTAGTTACTCACATAGGTGTGGGCCGACATTGTTGTACTTTAAATACTTTTCAAGGTTCTTTTCGTAGAGCTTGCAGCTCTTTGTTTTGTTATCTCCTCAACCCTCAGGTCTGATTGTTACTTGTTGTGAATTGAATGTTTTATCCAATTGGAAGTATGGGTAATTTTGAAAATGCAGTGAAGTGCAGCCGTCCCTCGGCACGCTTGGAGGAGGGCTTCGGGACCCAGGTTCGTACATACTCAAGTCCTGTGGTCTGCCCTGTGTATGTGAAAAGTTGGTCTTCTGTGTATCTGCGTCTGTCATCCAAGCAGCACTGTGTTTTCCGTCCGTGCATTCGTGGACCCATGCGGTTCAGACCTGTGTAGTTCAAGTGTCAGTGAGCCACTGTGCTAGGCTTGAATTCCTTCTGAAAAGCCCATGATCAGAAGGTTTTCAGAGCAAACGCTCCCTGCCGTGATTGTCTTCCTATTCGCCTGCTGCTGGATATGGTTCCCTTCCCTCTCCCATGCTCATACATACCCTTTTTAGTTTATTATGATCCTTTTTACGTTGTGAAAATAAAACCAGTCGGACTCGGTGGCTCAGCCTGTAATCCCGCACCTTGAGAGGCTGAGGTGAGTGGATTGCCTGAGCCCGCGGGTTCGAGACCCGCCTGGGCAACTTGGCGAGACCTCATCTCCACAGTCAATCAAAAATGAGCCGGGTGTGGTAGCGCGCGCCTGTAGTTCCAGCTACTCGGAAGGCGGAGTCGGAAGGATCGCCGGAGCCCAGCGGGTCGAGGCTGCGGTGGCTGGGAGCGGCCATGGCCCCCCAGTCTGGGCAACAGAGTGAGATTCCAACCCAAAAACAACAACAACAACTGTCTACCTTTTATAAAAATCTCTATGTATATACATCTATAGAGTAGATTCTCCATTGCACTACTGGGTCAGAGGGTGTATGGATCTCTAACTTTGATCAATATTGAGAGATTGCTTTTCATAGGGGTTGTACCAGCTTACACAACTAGCAACAATGTGTGAAATTCTGTTTTAGCCGGGCATGGTGGTAATGTGCCCATAGTTCCAGCTACTCTGGAGGCCAAGGTGGGAGGATTGCTTCAGCCTAGGAGTCCAAGGCTGCAGTGGGCTATGATAATGCTACTGCACTCCTCTTTTTTTTTTTTTTTTTTTTTTTGAGTTGGAGTCTCG